ACATGCAGAGCACACCATAATCCAGGAAGTTGTTTACTTCCTCCACCTCTCCTCTACCCAGAGGGAGGAACTTCACTTGGAGTAAAGTCAAAATAAGTTCAATGATACCCTTGGAGAGGAAAGAGTTTTCAAAAAGAGATACATATTTACCCACCCTACTCTGCAACCCACCCTACTCTGCAACTCATAAAGAAATTGTTAAAAACTCAGAATCCACAAGAGAAACACTAAAGAATATAAAATTAAGATGTCTTTGCAACTGTGCGGCTGAACAAAAAGGTGCGGCATAATTTCAGAACTCTGTGCTGAAGGATCTTATTTCTTATTTGTCTGGACTTGAGTAAGCGAATTTGATACATGGTAGGTGATGGGAGGATGGGGCTGACTGATGAGAGGATGAAGAGCAGGTTGGTGAGTGGACCAGGTGGAGGGAAGGCAGCCTAGGAGGGTGGACCAGCTGGAATCGTGAGTGGGCAAGAGCAATCAGGATGACCTTTCATGTGGTTATCCTCAGGAAATGAGTTCCTGGGGCCTCAGCGCTGGAGTCTGAAGATACAAGAGCTTAAAATATCACGGAGTAGATGAGGACTAAGTAGGTTTTTACTGGAAGCTCTCACTCCTTAAAGCTTAAAAGAAAAGAAAATGTGTATGCTAAGGAAAGTGTTAGGTTTTGGGAAAGTTACACAATAATAATTGTGGGTCATATATGCTGCTTTCATAGAAAAAAAGTGAGAAAGTAAGGCTAGGTAGTCATAGTTGTCTTTTGTTTTGCTTTTTGCATTTGCATAGTTACTGGAGGGATGAGCAAGAAACTAATAAAAAAACATACAGACAATGGGAATTCAGGTGGGCAGGAATGAAGAAGGAGGATGTCTTAACATTACTGTATTATCTATTCAAAATGTAAATTTACATAAAAAAGTAAGTAAGTTGAAACATGTTTACACAAAAAAAACACACATGAATACTTATAGTAGCTTTATTCATAAATTGCCAAACCTTGGAAGCAACCAAAACATTCTTCAGTAGGTGAATGGAGAAATAAACTGTGGTAATCCCTACAATGGGTTGTTAATAATAAAAAGATACACATTATCAAGCCTCACAAGGTCATGGAAGAAATTTCCATACTGCTAAGCAAAAGCAGCCAATCTGAAAAGGCTACACACATATGACTCCAAGTACACATTTGAAAAGGCAAAACATGGAGACAGTAGAAAGATCAGAAGTTGAGGAAAGGGATGAATAGAGGTGCACAGAAGCATTTTAGGGCAGCAAAAGTATTTCTGTGATACTATCATGGTGGGTACATGTTATTATATGTGTGTTCGCATTGAAACCCACAGAATATACAACACAGAGAGTAAGCCACAAATTCAGTTAATAAAAATGTATTTACATCAGCTCATCAATTGTAATAAGTGTACCAGACTAATTCAAGAGGTTAATAAGGGGCAGACTGGAAGGCAGAACGAGGGGGTAGATGAGAACTCTCAGTACTTTCTATCCATATTTCTGCAAGTATTAAACTGTTCTTTTTTTAGCCTACTTATTTAAAAAAGAAAAAAAGTGAGCGGGGTGCCAGTTGAGAACAGTTGTGAACAGCATACAAATCATACTGGACTCAGCCTGTAAATAAACCAAACATTTTTCAATAAGACAGTGATAGAGCTGTGTTCTGGAAAGAAAATTCTGATACTCTCTGCATGGAGAAAGACACTGGAAACATAGACCAGGGACCAATAAGATTACAGACAAAGGAGGACGGAGCCAGCTGAAATGAGATTGGGACCATGGAGCAGAAATGGGGATACAGGACAGACAGTAACAAGGCTCAGTGACACTGTCCCTGGGCATCCAGAAATGTGCAAAAATGGAGTTTAATGTTTTCCCCGGTTTCCAGTGTAAATTCTGTAGCAGACAATGGTACTCTTAAGAGCAACAAGAACAAATGAGATAGAGAGACTAAATATGGCTTTTGTCCTGGGAGGTTATTTTACCTGCAGAATATGCATGTGGATATGTACAGAGGCAGCTCAAAACCTCAAAACCCAAGCATAGAACTCAGGAAAGAAGTCAGGGCTGTCCTGGAGACTAATTATGTTATATATTAAACTGCACCTCTTTATGTAAAGGGTCACGATTTAACCTATAGAGCACTTCAGTAATAATGTACCATAGATTAACCAATAAAAGGAATCTAGTCTATTTCCTAAAATGATTGCAACCATGAAAGTAAAATACCAAGAGTTATATAACCTATTGCTCAAAAAACAAAAAGGAAAAGGAAAAAGAAAGAAAACAAACTTTTTCAGACATAACTATGAATAGCTTATATATGAAGTTATAGATACTATGGTTTCTTAACAAATTACTCCTAAAATTTAGCAGGATAAATAAAACAACTACTTCTTATGCTCGTGGGTTGGAAAGCCTAGGCATGTGGACCACAAACAGTAAGGAAAGTGTGTGTCCATTCCAGTGCCTGGCCTGGATGGTCTTTCATTCACCTTTCCAGGAGGTGCCAAAAACAGTCAACAGGGACCTTAGTCTTCTCCATATGGTACCTGCTGTGTGGACTTGGTATGTGGTCTAATTGGTGTCCTCCAAGCATGATGGATGGTTGAGTCCCCAGAGTTAGAATCCAAGGAAACAGACAGACACACAAGCAGAAACTATATCCTTTTATGACCCATCCTAGAGGTCATATAGCATCACTTCCACATGGTCAGAGTAAACACGGAAGTACCTGGTGGGGCAAAGGACATGGATTAGAACCTCCCTCTCCGGGACATGCCCTTCAATTTTAAGAAGTATATGTAGGATGACATTTGGTGAGCTATCTTTGGGGAATACTTTGCTTGTGTGAAAAGCAAAGTATTATTTCAGTTTATATGTCTGGGAGCAGAGGCAGAAATAGCCAGAGAAGACAGAGAGAGAATGTCAAGAACAACTCAAACCAAGCAAATTTCATCCATACAGTTTCCACTCTGTTCTGAGAAAAGGAAAAAACATTCAGATTCAAACATTTGCATTTTTGAGTCACTGGCTGAAACCTAAAAAGTTTGCCAGAAGATCTAGTACTTTCACCTATAGAAAACGAAAGGCCCACAGAATTTCAGGGGTTGGACTGCTGGTGGCTCAACATGAGAGACAAATGGCTCTGGAAAAGCCCTGTGAGGGACAGTGTGCTGCCATCCACAGAGGGCCCCTGCTAAGTCACCTCAACCTTGCCTGTTCACTTGAATGCTTTGTCAAATTCATCTCACATAAGCAGCTCCCATGGAGTTCTGTGCTCTTTACTGCTGATTTGTGCTTTTAAAAGACTGAAAATGAATAGCGATTTCAGATGCAGAAAAGAAAACAAAGTATTATATGCAGGGAAAAATACTTATTTAGAACCAAACATGACAACCAGAAAAACTCCACATAGAACACCAAGAGAAGAGGAAAGGAAAGAGCTTGTTCATTCACCTGTTCCAAATTTTTCTCCAGATTCTTCTCTTTATCCTTGTACAAACCACTGTTCAGACACACACACACACACACACTTAGACACATCATTACCAACAAGGTTGTTCCATGAATGCAAACATGGCGTAGTTTACCAAATAAAGAGAAAAAATAGGGTAATATTTGCACAATGAAAAGACCTTCAACAAAGTTTAGTACCTACTCCTGAGTTCTCATTATTAAAACACTCAAAATAGAAATTCATGTTATTTTTGACATGATAAAACAAAATAAGGGTCAGCCCTAAGGGAACATCTTTCCTAAGAAGGGAGTACTACAAGCAGCCCAACTCATATCAAGGACAAAGACACCTACAATTTCCCTACTCTTTGATGTTTCATCTAAGACACAAGCCAAAGCAATCAGACAAGAAAACAGTTAGAGATGTAAGAAGAATCAAAGTACTGTATCTCCATTTGCAGGTGGTATAAAAAGATGCATGAAAACCAATGTCAAGAGAATCAGTGATAAAAGCTAACATAATCTACAAAAGAATTTAGTAAAATGGCAGAATATAAAATTAATCTAAGATACCCATCATGAAAATCTGGCAACAGACTAGGAATACAGTGAAATAGGCATTTTCTACATTGTTAGTGGAAATGCAATATGATAGCTCTCATATGGGAGGAAATTTGACTATATTTAACAAAATTAGATATTTATTTACTTTGTGGCCCAGTAATTTCAGGGAATCTATCCCCCACCAAACACTAACAAACACTGATATTTTTACAGCATTCAAAATAAGAATAAATGGATACATTTAATATGATCACAATACATAAAAACAAGACCAGACACTATGAAAGATGCTCAAGGCTATCATTCACTTCAGCACTATTTATAATAGCAAAAGACAGGAAAACAACCCAAATGTCCAGCAGCATTACGTGGCTGATTACACTGTGGCACATTCACAGAGTGTAACACTGCAGCCCTAAATGAGAAGTGAAGAACAACTAAATATGCTGAATTCCCTGATCACAGACAGAATTTTAACTGAAAAAAGCAAAATGGTGAACAGTAGATGCAATATGCTACTGTTAATCTAAGCAAAGAGGAAAGCATATTTATATGTAATATATTACATATATTTGTAAATTTTTAAATGAAGAGATAAATTTCAAAACTTCCAAAACATGTCCCTATAGAAGAAAAAAAAAGGAGTAAAGGAGGCACAAATAGGAATTAGACTTCTTTTATTAATTATATCTCATTTTATAGGCTTGACTTTGGAAGCATGTAAATATTTTAGCTAAATTATAAAAGGAAAACCATAAGGAACATAGAATCCCGCCCCCCCCCCCATGCACCTTGTTCTTAGGGTTAGGCTATGAGCAAATCCGAATAGAACCGGAATCAGCAGAAACAATCTGACAATCTGACAAGTACTCTAGCTTCCAAGAAGGAAGTGGGGTGGCTGGAGACAACAAAACAAAAAGAACAGGCACAAATGAAAGGAGAGACTGCAAAGCGTAACTTACCTCAACTTTGCTCTCAGGTTCATGATCAGCAGCTGAGAAATACACAACCTCCTGAACTTCATCTCTGGGCCGGGCTGAATTTTTCCCAAACACCACCAAACCATCCTTCGCACGTGGCGGGAAGGCCACAAAACAGTAACTTGGAGGAGCCACTGACATCCTAAAAAGAAAAAGGCAGAGAGAATGGGAAGAGGCCTGACAAAGAGCATGCCAAAAGTGAGATACTCAAATATGTTTCAGCAGCTCAATGACCTCTCCTAGTGAGCTGTGTGGTGAGCTCATTAAAGGATCCCAGCTGGCACAGGAAGCTGGGGAGCCTGCCGTTGAGTTTCAGAGTGCAGAGAGCAGATACTGTTTGGTACTCAGCGGAATTAAATGAGCTCAGATTTGCAACAAACCCCAGTGGCAGGCAAAAGTGCAGTGATGTAGGAGAAAGGAAAGGAGATTATTGTTCCAAGCAAAAGACACACACACACTCACACTGCAATCTGTCACATGAATAAATATTCCAGAGTCCTTTGGTATTTGCAGGGATCAGTTACAGAACCCTTTACAAACACTAAATCTACAGATGCTCAGTCCTTTATATGAAATGTATTTGCATATAACCTTCACACATCTTCCTGAACACTAAATTATTTCTAATACCTAATACAAGTGCTATATAAATTATGTACTGTACTGTTTAAGGAATAATGGCAAGAAAAAAGTCTATATATGTTCACACATTCAGCACAAATGCACTTCCACCCCTCCCACTACAAAGACTGTATTTTTTCATCCTAAACTGGCTGAATCCACAGATGCACAACCTGAGGATACAGGACACCCAGATACCATAGCCACCGCACTTTGTAACACTGCATTACACAGGTACCTTGGATCAACAGATATATGGCCACCACCTAAGAGATCCTAGGGTGTGATGAGGAAATTAATTTAGAAATAAAGATGTCACCTTTAAAAAAAATTTTTTTTTATTCTGCCTCAATAACATAACACTCAAGCACATTTCAAGTTTCCTCCCACATCTCCAGTGACTCCTGGGCTGGCTTGTTCTCTTCTAAATGGCAATCATGCGTCCTTACTCTTTAATCCTTCTTTTCTTATTTAATGCTCTTTTTTTTCTGAGTTCCCCTCATCCATTGAGCACATTTAATTTGCGTTCAGTTCTCAATTTGAGCTCTGGATGGATTCAAGTGCTTCCCTGATGTACAAAGTTGATTTTATCCTTTTCCCCAAACTGGGTCCCTTTGCAAGGATCCATCCTATTTCAAAGGTCAGTTCCCTATCTATCCTGTTGAAGCAACTGGGGCTGAGGAACTATCTCTGCCATCTGTTTCTCCAGTACCCAACATGTCACTAAGTTCCACAGATTTGGTCTCCTAAATCTCTATGGAAACTAGCCACTTCCCCCCATCCCCAATGCCACCACTCTGCACCAAGATACATCACCTCTACCCTGGTCCACACAGCAGCCTCTTCAGGGATTGCTCCAAAACCTCTATCATTCCCTCTCCAAATATCCTCTGTGTTGCAGCCAATGTTATCTTTTTCAAAAGAAAATCTGCTTATGTAACTGCTACATAAAATGCTTCTAAAGGTTACCTACAGCTTTTAGAATAAAGACCAAAGTTTGAGCATTCTTGTGTCCCCTCCCAGCTTTATCTCACCCCCAACCCCCACTTTGACAACTCCAGTACACAGGCCTTTTTCGGTTCCTCTGTACCCCAAAAGCTACTGTGCATGCTCCACATAACCATTCATTTCTCTGCTCGCTGCATCAAAACTATCAATCTGAGAGCAGTAATCAGGTCTATTTTGCATGTCATGTAGACTCAGTTCTACATAATGTCTTATGTACAGTACATTTGCGACTAATTATAAACGCATGTTCTTTTCTAGTTTTTTAGTATTCCACAGGGGACTCTCTACTCTCTACAACTCTCTTTTCTAACCGTCAACCCTGTCTGAATGTCCTTTCCTCAGTTTTTGTGCACAGTGTTTAGGCTCTGATTCAAAACTGCTTGCTTTGGGAAGACATAGCTAAAGGACTCGGTCATTTACTCAGTACCCACAGGCTTTAACACATCAAGTTTGTTCTAGAATATTGTACATTTATTGCTTGAAAATATACTGTTTCAAAGAAAGCTCCCTGAGGGCATGGCCTATGCCACCCAACTACAGAAGTCCCCTCTTTAATCCCCTGCATTATAGCCACTCAACAAACACATCTGTTGAACTATTGTATTTGTGTCATGAATTATGCAGAACAAATGTGTTTTATGCCAAGTTTAAAATGTGAGAAGTAAAGCACTGTGCTCAGAAAAGTATTCACTAGACTGAGATTCAAAAACTTAGCTCCACCAGCTACAAACTGTGACTTTAGGCAAGTCACTTTACTTCCCTGAGCCTGTGTTTCCTCTTGCAAATGTCTTGTCTCAGCCCACAGGTTTCCCGTAAGTATCAACTAAAATGATGCTAGAGAACATATCTTACAAATGATGGAGGCTACATAAATGATACTGTGGGGTCTGACATTAAATTAGCCTCTCAAAGTTTGAGCCAACCAAGACAATCAAAACTGACTTGCCTCATTCATACCCACAGCAGTTATCAAACTGCAGTCAGCAATGTTTGATGCTTAGATACATCCCTGTGAGGGACTATCATGCCATTTCTGCCCATGCCACATCACGCTTGCAAGGGCATCCCTACCCTGAGCTGCTGAAATATTTACTTACAGCAGGTCCTTCCACAGGGTGCAGAAAAATGAGGGGACCTTACAACTCTGAAAATAATTCTCTCCTAGCTCCCAAAAACATTCTCTTTCTATGAGAAAGAAAAATCAGGGGAAAAAAAAAAAAAAAAAGAAACTCCAGTTCTTTCTTCCCCATGTCCATAAAAACTGCTTAATTTGCAGACTTCCGGGTAGAGAGAGACAAAGAATTTCTATGTACAAGAAAGACTTAGAATAACTACATTATAAAATGGTTTCACAGAGGATTCTTGGAATTATTGGTTTTATAGAGAATTGCTGGCAAGTGAAACTGGGCTGGCAGACACAGATAAATCTCAGCCTCATTTATGAAACAGGACTTCTCTTCCTCCCCCGTCCTTGCACCATTTCAAAAGTACTCATGTGTGATCTAAATCTCATTTTACTCGATCCTGAACAATGATACATTTACAAGATGTATCTGTGGAAAATAGGTAAATCCCACCAGGTTTCTAATTAAGCCCTTAGTCTTCAGTCAGGGCATCCGTTCATTCCTCAAGTCAGCTAAGGCACTTGATGATGATGTGGGTGCAGGAAAGAGAAGCAAGAAATACAGCCCAGGGAGGTTGGCTTTTCCACTGAATTTTGTGAATGAACTGGGACTGCCAGAAAGAAGCACAATTTCAGTTTGTATTTATAAATATACAACCAGTAAAGCAGCCAAGTCAACCAGCAAACTATCAGTCAGTAGCAAACTAGCTGAGCTTAGTGTCCATTTGTTTGGTCTGAGTCTGCATTATGTGTGCTGACCAGCCTGAGAAAGGCCTGGACAGGACTCTCCCTCTCCCTGTGATGGTGACAATGTCCATCTCCACTCTCCTGTATGATGGCTCCCAGCCTCCTGGGACTACCGAAGGTAGTAAATATGACTAAGGAACACTGATTCCGTTACATTTTAAGTACCCTGAGGCTAATGAGAGCTCCACTGAGCAGAGCAGCCATTCCATTTCCCAAAATAACCCAGAAAAAGAATTTTCTACGTAAGGTTTCAATGATCCCAAAACACTGATTTGTGAAATCTCTACTTATTATAGTGATAAAATGTGCTCTCGTTTGCAAAAACCAAAGTAACAAACAGGAGGTAAGAAGACTGGGGAGAGTCTTTCCAAAAAAAACAAAGAAAATAAAACCCTTAGGAAGTAGCTACTGAAGTCACCAGGGTTGGTTTAAGGAAGCTCTTTCCTCCAGAAGCTAACGGTAGAGGTTCTAGGGGTCAATTCCATTTCTCCTGATATGCAGCTGCTACTTCTCACTGAACACCCAGAAAAGTGGCCCTGGCTTCCGCCTGGATATCCTTTTATACCTGCTGGGTCAATTCTCCCCTCGCTCCTAAATGAATCTTTGATCTCTTCACTCTTCTTTAGACCACCACAGGATGTGGTGGGGACCCAGACAGGACACCCAGGTGGGGTTGCAGTATAGGCCTGAAACTGAACCCAGATGCCTATAAATCAGCATTTCCAAAACACACACTGTAATCCTCTTATGGGTAACAAAATCAATTCAGTGAATAAGAATATTTTTTTAAGAAAAGCATTTTTAGAAAAAATACATGCATCTCACAGCATAAGGGTAAGTGTTAATATTAAAAAATTCTTTTTCTTGGAGGCTGGGGATTTAGCTCAGTGGTATAAGCACCTGTTTTGCAAGCAGATGGTCATGAGTTCAATCTCTGGTACTGATAAAAAGTTTAAAAAAAATTTCTTTTTCCCTCAGAAGTAGGGAACTGCACCCAGGGCCTTAGCACTAAGCTTCACCCCCAGCTCTTCCTTTTATTTTTTGAGACAGGGTCTCACCAAGTCACTAAATTGCTCAGGCTGGGTTCAAACCTACAAACCTCCCTTCTCAGCTTCCCATACTGCTGGGATTACAGGCGTGCTGCACCAGACCAGACTAAGAAACTCTACCTTTAAGTTTGGGTATATACTGCAGACAGAAACGCCATTTCTCGCACTGTGACTGTCAAGGAAAAAGCCTTAAAAGCAAACAGGCTTACAGGGTAGGCCTGCAGAATAAGGCTGCTTTGTGGCAAGTGCCTATTAAGATTCTTGCCAGGCTAGCAATAAACTAACAGTGCTAATTAATGAGACACTCCAATTTAACTCCCATCAGTGGGTAAGCTGAAGGGCCTTTTACCTGTAGTCTGCGCGGCATACCCATGCTCTCTAGGTTCTCCAATTGAAATTATTTTTAATATTGCAGACTACTGGGGAAGAGGGGATAATATTAAAAGATAGGAAGTTGAGATAAAGCCATGAGTTGGAAATATGAAAACATCTTGGCATCTCTGTCTTTTTGAAGCAGAAAAAAGAAATCAGATTATTCATTACCCGGCTGGCTGCAAAGTAATATACCTGATATTTTTCCTCTCAGTCAGTTCT